GGACAGATAACTTTTAATCTGATCTCCGGGCAGAAAACATTTCCTTCAATAGCAGCAGAGACTGGGAATCCCCTTTGTGTGCACTAAATGCCCTTGCAAAACCAAATTTTACTTTGTACAACTTAGCAGTGACATCATCACTGTGCTGTACATAGCCTGTGCAGAGCTGTGGGAGGGGTCCTGCAGGCTCCACCGCTAGACTGCAGGAGGGGCGGAGACCAGACCAGTCACCCTGCACAAGGAGGGAGAGCAGCAGTGAGGGGTCTTTATTACAGGAGGGGGCGGAGACAAGACCAGTCATCCTGCACAAGGAGAGAGAGAAGCAGTGAGCGGTTTTTATTACAGGAGGGGGCGGAGACGAGACCAGTCATCCTGTACAAGGAGGGAGAGCAGCAGTGACCGGTCTCTATTACAGGAAGCTCCAAGTCTCACACTGGAGTGCTGCACAGATCTGGGAGAAATACACAAAGCTCACCGAGATTCAGTAATAGACATAACTCTTGTATGAGAACAATAGGCGTTCGCTTTGATGTGCATACATCAGCCGCCACTTCACATCCTGGTATATGGCAGATGAGGTATAATGTATGGGCTGTACCAGGTACCGCAGATGCTACGGTTCAGGGAGGACATAACCAGTTCCCCCGAGAGATCTCTTACTGATTTAGACCCCAAAAACGGACATCAGGCATTGCGCAATGTGCAGTAGACGGTGATAGTCCTCTTTCATTGTTCCAACAACTTTTTTTAGTGATTGGTGAGATCTGGTTGCCGTTGGTTACTGCACTCCTCGGCATTGTAGAATATGATGATGATTGTGATGGCAGCAACACCTTATCAATCTTGTCTTTCAGGAATGGGGCGAGAGGTGGAGAATCTTATCCTGGAGAACACGCAGCTTCTGGAAACAAAGTACGTCCCTTTAATCATTCGTCCCCCTTCTTATGTACATTGTATAACCGGCAGGAGATCTGTGTCCCGGGAGCTCCTTAGTGCACCAGGATGGAGATCGGCTCTGCCGGTACATGTCAGTCTGCCTATTAAGCTCTAAGTGACAGTTTAACTTATGTGAAGACCCCCAATACTCAAACATCACCCCCCCTTCAGAGCCCCCATTAAATGTCTGATGTCTCTTGGGAATGGAGGAGCATGTGACCTGCTCCCAGGGTACAGTGCTAGGGCCCAGGGGCCAATCACAAGGCCCGAACACTGTCATGTGTGAGTATTTGGCCGAGTACTCGTACTTGCCCAAATGTTCCGATGCCTAGCCCGATACTTCCGGTATCAGGAAGCCGCGCGTCATTACACGCTGCCCGGCTTCCTGATTGGCCGGGAAGCCGGCTCCGTACTCTCTCATAGAGCCGGGCAGCGTGTCATGGCGTGCTGCCCGGCTTCCTCATTGGTCGGAAGCTGGCCAATCGGGAAGCCAGGCGCCGTGTAATAACGCGGCACCTGGCTTTCCGATTGGTCGGGAAGATGGCTTAATGCTCCCTCATCACCTCATGACGAGGGAGCATGGAGCCGGCTTCCTGGCCAATCCGGAAGCAAGGCACCTCGTCATCACACAGGGCCCGGCTTCCTGATTGGCCAGAAAGCCGGCTCCATGCTTACTCATCGCCTACTGACAAGAAGCATGGGGACGGCTTCCCTGCTAATCGGGAAGCCGGGTGGCGAGTCATTCCACGCTGAATGGCTTTCTGAATGGGACATTCGGTATCGTTGCATCCCTAAGTATTAGGAATTAAAGATCGTGACCTCGGCACTTACCTGGTCTGCTGCGTGTTTTTAAAAAGCTTTCCTTTCCTTCTTAATTGAGCCGGACCGGTGGTCCCAGGTCTCCTGTTTTGAGGGGGAAGCATTGCCTTGCAGGGTCCTATGGAGCCACCCTTTCATACATGCTCCCAGGAGGGGACTCCAGGCCGATGTGAGGAGGCCACCCGCGCCCCATGCACAGGCCGAGCACCAGATACAGAAGACATTCCTCCAGAGAGATGGTTGAAAGCGGCTCACTTGGGGCACGCGTAGCACTATGAATTATGGGACATGTAGTCCCCAAGAGGGGGATCAGTGGCCCATCTATGACGTTATGGGTGCGCTCTCCCCCCCACAGGGAGGTCAGGGGAGTGCTGCAGAGGAAGTTGGAGGATACAGTCTTGAGGAGATCGAATTTTAATTGTTTCTGGACTATTTTGGAAGTTACTGTTCCGTGTCCCCTGTTTACACATGTAAATGGGATATACAAATCTAACACGTTAGTATCACTTTAAGAGCCAACATCATCCAACACGGATCACACAGACAGGAGCAGATTGGTGGGAAAACACGGGGATGATGAGCGTCGGTGGGACACACACACACACCAGTTCTGCTGCACCTTGCAGGATCCATTACACTCCCGCAGGCAATAGGACATGAACTGGCATACAGCGGGTGTTTGCTTTGCCGGTCAACCTGTCTCTCGGCACTGGTGGCAGCCATTTGTGTGCGCTCCGAGTGGAGCGCGCGTAGAATCCAGTACTGCAAAGGGGAGAACGTTTAGCTGCACTGCCAGTGACGTCTCCATCCTAGCAGCAGTGTGACATCGGCTCTGCACAGATCACTTTAAATCTGATCTCCGGGTAGAAAACATTTCCTTCAATAGCAGCAGAGACTGGGAATCCCCTTTGTGTGCACTAAATGCCCTTGCAAAACCAAATTTTACTTTGTACAACTTAGCAGTGACATCATCACTGTGCTGTACATAGCCTGTGCAGAGCTGTGGGAGGGGTCCTGCAGGCTCCACCGCTAGACTGCAGGAGGGGCGGAGACCAGACCAGTCACCCTGCACAAGGAGGGAGAGCAGCAGTGAGCGGTCTTTATTACAGGAGGGGGCGGAGACAAGACCAGTCATCCTGCACAAGGAGAGAGAGAAGCAGTGAGCGGTTTTTATTACAGGAGGGGGCGGAGACGAGACCAGTCATCCTGTACAAGGAGGGAGAGCAGCAGTGACTGGTCTCTATTACAGGAAGCTCCAAGTCTCACACTGGAGTGCTGCACAGATCTGGGAGAAATACACAAAGCTCACCGAGATTCAGTAATAGACATAACTCTTGTATGAGAACAATAGGCGTTCGCTTTGATGTGCATACATCAGCCGCCACTTCACATCCTGGTATATGGCAGATGAGGTATAATGTATGGGCTGTACCAGGTACCGCAGATGCTACGGTTCAGGGAGGACATAACCAGTTCCCCCGAGAGATCTCTTACTGATTTAGACCCCAAAAACGGACATCAGGCATTGCGCAATGTGCAGTAGACGGTGATAGTCCTCTTTCATTGTTCCAACAACTTTTTTTAGTGATTGGTGAGATCTGGTTGCCGTTGGTTACTGCACTCCTCGGCATTGTAGAATATGATGATGATTGTGATGGCAGCAACACCTTATCAATCTTGTCTTTCAGGAATGGGGCGAGAGGTGGAGAATCTTATCCTGGAGAACACGCAGCTTCTGGAAACAAAGTACGTCCCTTTAATCATTCGTCCCCCTTCTTATGTACATTGTATAACCGGCAGGAGATCTGTGTCCCGGGAGCTCCTTAGTGCACCAGGATGGAGATCGGCTCTGCCGGTACATGTCAGTCTGCCTATTAAGCTCTAAGTGACAGTTTAACTTATGTGAAGACCCCCAATACTCAAACATCACCCCCCCTTCAGAGCCCCCATTAAATGTCTGATGTCTCTTGGGAATGGAGGAGCATGTGACCTGCTCCCAGGGTACAGTGCTAGGGCCCAGGGGCCAATCACAAGGCCCGAACACTGTCATGTGTGAGTATTTGGCCGAGTACTCGTACTTGCCCAAATGTTCCGATGCCTAGCCCGATACTTCCGGTATCAGGAAGCCGCGCGTCATTACACGCTGCCCGGCTTCCTGATTGGCCGGGAAGCCGGCTCCGTACTCTCTCATAGAGCCGGGCAGCGTGTCATGGCGTGCTGCCCGGCTTCCTCATTGGTCGGAAGCTGGCCAATCGGGAAGCCAGGCGCCGTGTAATAACGCGGCACCTGGCTTTCCGATTGGTCGGGAAGATGGCTTAATGCTCCCTCATCACCTCATGACGAGGGAGCATGGAGCCGGCTTCCTGGCCAATCCGGAAGCAAGGCACCTCGTCATCACACAGGGCCCGGCTTCCTGATTGGCCAGAAAGCCGGCTCCATGCTTACTCATCGCCTACTGACAAGAAGCATGGGGACGGCTTCCCTGCTAATCGGGAAGCCGGGTGGCGAGTCATTCCACGCTGAATGGCTTTCTGAATGGGACATTCGGTATCGTTGCATCCCTAAGTATTAGGAATTAAAGATCGTGACCTCGGCACTTACCTGGTCTGCTGCGTGTTTTTAAAAAGCTTTCCTTTCCTTCTTAATTGAGCCGGACCGGTGGTCCCAGGTCTCCTGTTTTGAGGGGGAAGCATTGCCTTGCAGGGTCCTATGGAGCCACCCTTTCATACATGCTCCCAGGAGGGGACTCCAGGCCGATGTGAGGAGGCCACCCGCGCCCCATGCACAGGCCGAGCACCAGATACAGAAGACATTCCTCCAGAGAGATGGTTGAAAGCGGCTCACTTGGGGCACGCGTAGCACTATGAATTATGGGACATGTAGTCCCCAAGAGGGGGATCAGTGGCCCATCTATGACGTTATGGGTGCGCTCTCCCCCCCACAGGGAGGTCAGGGGAGTGCTGCAGAGGAAGTTGGAGGATACAGTCTTGAGGAGATCGAATTTTAATTGTTTCTGGACTATTTTGGAAGTTACTGTTCCGTGTCCCCTGTTTACACATGTAAATGGGATATACAAATCTAACACGTTAGTATCACTTTAAGAGCCAACATCATCCAACACGGATCACACAGACAGGAGCAGATTGGTGGGAAAACACGGGGATGATGAGCGTCGGTGGGCAATGGGGTTCCTCATACAAGAGAACCTGTCACTTCCCCTCCCACGGGGATGATGAGCGTCGGTGGGCAATGGGGTTCCTCATACAAGAGAACCTGTCACTTCCCCTCCCACGGGGATGATGAGCGTCGGTGGGCATGGGGTTGCTCATTCAAGAGAACCTGTCACTTCCCCTCGACGGGGATGATGAGCATCGGTGGGCAATGGGGTTCCTCATACAAGAGAACCTGTCACTTCCCCTCGAATGGGACACATTGAGTGTCTAGCCCTCACCTGTGTATGTCAGATGTGGGCTGTAATCTCCACAACCAGGAGAACCTTCAGCTTTATGTAGAGGTGATGTCTGCGGGACTCTCCCGTCCATCTTCATCGTGTGATCATTTCCAGGAACGCCCTGAATGTGGTGAAGAACGACCTGATCGCCAAGCTGGATGAGCTGATGTGCGAGAAGGACGTCTTGCAGGGCGAGCTGGCCTCCATCAAACAGACCAAACAGAAGATGGAGGAGAAGAACAAGGAGCTGGAGGAGGAGCTGAAAAAGTGAGTGTGCGCCACATGTCCGGGAGGTTCTCCACAGGATTCAGCAGTGTACCTATAGACTAACATATTATATGGATTGGAGCAACATTCACCATATTTATTCCCAGATAATTTTTCTAAAAGTCATTTTGAATTGAGAAAGTTGGTTAGATTACCAGTGAAACATCTTCAAGGAAAAAAAATACAGCAAGTCCAGTTGCCTTGATTTGTTTTTACAGATGTCTGCCACTGGGGGTCACGGCTGCCATTTTGTTGTAGCCGGTGTTGACTCGGAGTGCGTGGAATGGGCTGAGGTGGTTTTAGGGTTAGGCCGGCCGGTTTTATGCCGTCGTAACGAAGGACGTGATTTTTGTTCCAGGGCGAGGGCAGAAGCCGAGGAGGCGAGGCAGAAATCCAAAGATGAAGAAGATGTAAGTTGCACACGATCTGTAATGCCGACCCCAAAAAATGTCAACTTTGTATAAGGCTGCTGTGTCTATCTTTGGTGAAAGTGACACGAAACTCCGGAGAATCACCCCAAAAATCCCTCCGAGCCCCCGAACTCCGAGCAACAATGTATCTTATTTGTATCACTCGGCTGGAGATCCTCCAATCATCTCTGACACTGTCCTTCCTTCTGGAGGGGGGCTACGTCTGTTCCCCATGGTCTCTGTGTGTGTTGTAGAGTAGTCACCGCTCCAAGCTCCGCCCCCCCGGGATGGACTACAATCTCAATACAAATCGGTAAACTGAACATGAGATTGTAGTCCATCCCAGGACTCTGCAGTAAAAAGAAAAGCTTCAATGATGTGCGCTGTAGTAAGAACTATAAATGGTATTTATTGGAAATGAATCCAGTTACTGTAATCCGTGTTTTGTCCCCGTGTCTGACCCGCGTTTTATTCATTCTTGAAGAGCGACGTGCCGACGGCCCAGCGGAAGCGGTTCACACGGGTGGAGATGGCGCGGGTTCTAATGGAGAGGAATCAGTATAAGGAGAGACTGATGGAGCTGCAGGAGGCCGTCCGCTGGACGGAAATGATCAGGTACGTGTACAAGGAGATGACGGCGTGAGATCCGGCCACCTTGTGGGGTCTTCTGATGAGGTCACGGCAACTTTCTACAAGAATGCCGAATTGTTCAACACGTAACACAGGAGATGGTACCGGAGATCGAGTATTAGATGTGACTTTCAATGTGACTCCAGATGTGCTGCGCTCCATAATGCACCAACACCCATCCTAGGAGTCCTGAAATGTTTCCCTTTTCCTACAGAGCATCCAGAGAGAATCCGGCCATGCAGGAGAAGAAGAGGTCCAGCATCTGGCAGTTGTAAGTTGGAGAAAAGTGTACAAAATGTTAAATCCGACCTCCGTCCTTCCCTTCAGTCTTCTATCTGACCTCCGTCCTCCCCTTCAGTCTTCTATCTGACCTCCGTCCTTCCCTTTAGTCTTCTATCTGACCTCCATCCTCCCCTTCAGTCTTCTCTCTGACCTCCCTCCTCCCCTTCAGTCCTGTATCTGACCTCCGTCCTCCCCTTCAGTCTTCTATCTGACCTCCGTCCTCCCCTTCAGTCTTCTATCTGACCTCCGTCCTCCCCTTCAGTCTTCTATCTGACCTCCGTCCTCCCCTTCAGTCTTCTATCTGACACTTCTATCTGACCACCGTCCTCCCCTTCAGTCTTCTAGCTGACCTCCGTCCTCCCCATCAGTCTATCTGACCTCCGTCCTTCCCTTCAGTCTTCTATCTGACCTCCGTCCTCCCCTTCAGTCTTCTATCTGACCTCCGTCCTCCCCTTCAGTCTTCTATCTGACCTCCGTCCTCCCCTTCAGTCTATCTGACCTCCGTCCTTCCCTTCAGTCTTCTATCTGACCTCCGTCCTTCCCTCCCTTCGGTCTTCTATCTGACCTCCGTCCTTCCCTTCGGTCTTCTATCTGACCTCCGTCCTCCCCTCCAGTCTTCTACCTATCTGGCTGCTGTCCCTCTAATTCAGACCTAATTCTGCGTATTTCTCTGTAGTTTCAGCCGCCTGTTCAACTCTTCTGGCACTGCTTCTAGGAAACCCGACCTGCCTGTCAACGTCCGGTACAACGCCCCGACCTCGCACATCACCCCCTCCATCAAGAAGAAGAGCAGTGCCTTAGCCAAACTCCCCAGTGACAAGTCCAAAGCCTTCGACTTCCTCAGTGACGAGTGAGTGACGGCTCTGTGTTCACATACAGCTGACTGGCCAATCAGACGCAGAGTTTTCAGTTTAGGTTGTAACGCTGCCTTAAAGGAAATGTTTTGATTGGCCGGTGAGAGTTTACACCACATTAGCTGCATGGTAACCCGTCTCGTATCTCGGGGCGTTCGTGGAGATTCGGTTTTTATTGGGCTGCAGGTCTGGTAGTGTCACAAGTCGGGAATACCGCCAGGAAGGTTGAAGGGTCAGCGCCGTCTCCAGGTTTGGATCACACATCGCTTCACTTCTCCCTACGAGCCGCGCGGTGTCCTCCGGCCCATGCCGGCATCCATCTTCTGGGTTCCGTCCCTTGTGAGCGGCTGCGTCGCAGGGGGTGGAACCAGCGGGAAATTAAAGAAAAATCAAACAAAAAATGGGGGAAAAAGACTCAAAGCAAATACTGGGAACAATCAGACCACCAGGGAGGTTAAAGGAGAACTATGAGGGGGGGGGGAGGGGCTTTTCACTCCTCCTCATAGTTCTAGCCGACCTGTGACAATGAGACTGTCACAGGTCGGCTCAGTAGATCGGGAGGTGAGGGAACACATACCAGGTTCGCTCACCTCTCGATCCTGTCACTGCTCTCTGCCGTGACGAGGGAGTGGCTGGATTCCCCGCTCCGATCCGCCAGCGCTGACTGGTGGAACGGGAGGGGGCGGGTACAGCTGGCTCTGCCTCTAGATAGGCGGAGCCAGCTGTCACTGGGCGGATCTCGACATCGATGTCGGGATCCGCTGCGGCGTCTCAGTATACCGCGAGCTGTAGCTCCCTATATACTGAGCCTAGGGTGACGGGAGGACGCTAGTTTGTGTCCTCCCGTTACCCTGAGGAGAACTATCGGGAAAAGCCCTGACCCCAGAGTTCTCCTTTAAAGTGCACCAGTCATAATAGAAATAGCGGACCTGCTGTTGCTGACTTGCTTGTCATGGGACGGTTTGCCGAGCGGTCATCCTTGAGCCTCTAATCCAGAACATTCGGGTGTATGACGGATGACAGGCTTGTCCTGGGTGAGTTACCCATCACATAGTAATAAAAGGATCGGGATGACGTCATGGGGGCAGCGCCTTCCAAACCCATTAAAAAAATGGCAGCTCTCCTATTTCAGTTTTGACTGGATCCTGGCAGGGGACTGATGATGATCTCTGCAGTCCTGTCGTTGTGTTGCAGAGGGCAGAGTCGTGTTTAATCAGCATTTTGTGTCCTCTTTGGGCAGCACCGAAGCGACTCTGGCCTCCCGGAGGGAACAGAAGAGGGAGCAGTACCGCCAGGTGAAAGCCCACGTCCAGAAGGAAGATGGCCGCATTCAGGCCTTCGGCTGGAGTCTTCCTCAGAAGTATAAGCCGGTGTGTATGATGCGAATCCTTTTCACGCGTCTGCGTCCAATCTCTGGAGCATGTTCAGTGTTTTTCATTCCACTTTTTTTTTTTTTTTTAAAGAATCTGCCGGTTCCAGTCTACCTGCGGCCGCTGGATGAGAAAGATACTTCCATGAAGGTGACGACTCAACCTCCTCCTGATTGAGGTCAGTGTGTGTGTTTATTCCGGCGCTGTCAGTGACCCAGATGTTCTGTGTCCCCCCCCTCCCAGCTGTGGTGTGCGGTCGGTGTCAATCTGTCTGGCGGGAAGACCAGAGATGGCGGCTCGATTATCGGAGCCAGCGTCTTCTATAGCGACCTCCCGGGCTCCGAGGCGGGTGACCAGAAGACGCGCAGCGAG